AGAAATGGGAATGGAATTCAATAGAGAGTTCTCCAAAGAAGGAATAGAAATGGCCAACAAATATATTTTTAAAATGTTCAATACCATAAGCCACCAGAGTAATGCAGGTTAAAGCCACAATGAGATTTCACTTCTTCCTTCTCAGGATGGCTGAAGCCCAAAACACAGAGAGAATACATGCTGGTAACAATGTGGAGAAAGAGCATTTTTTTTCTGAGCAAAATCAAGATTTTTTAAATGAGAAAGCTACTTCCACCACAATCAGGAAGCAATCACAACAATGAATAATAACATACTGCTAATGTTCTTTGCCTATCTCAGCACATTAAAGCATGTCACTAGATTAATGCTGAACATTTAAAAACGTATTGTACTCATGAATATCAATTTGTGATTTTTTTTTGGTGTGTAGTGTTTTTTTTTTTATTGTTAATAACATTGTATTATGTGATACAGTTTTATAGGCACTGGGATTCCCCCTACCCCTCCCACAACCCTACCCCCATGATTTTTTAACCAGGCATTAGAAATAACACAGGATTTAAGATTCATTGCTTCTCAATAAAATTTTTTTTAAATTTAGTATTGGGAGAGTATTTGTGGGTTAATGAGTTAAGCCGCCACTTGGAGTGCCTGCTTCTCAAATGAGTATATCTGTCCAAATTAGAGTTCCTTTGGACCATTCACATTCAGTATTCTCATGTTACTGGGAGGCTGCGTGATGGTACAGACATCTTGCCACTGACATGGAAAATCCAGATAGAGTTGCTTGTTTTTTGACATCAGCCTGGCATAAACCCAATCTTGTAGGTATTAGGAAAGTAAACCAGCAACACAAGGCAGAGTTCTCCCTCAACCCCCCTACTTGTCCCTGTAACTTTTGACTTCCTAAAAAACTAAAGTAAAACAAAACAAAACAACATTTTTAGCTTTTAAGACAGACAAGAGAAAACTAAATGCAATAAAATGCAGAATATGCACTATGGAAAGGTATACAGAAAGATAACAAGTTATGGAAAACTAGAGATGACTACTGCCTACAATTAAAAGATAAATATATCTAGGAAGAATTTGCATAAACATATGAGGAAAAGTCAATACCAGTTAAGTATACCAGTCAATACCAGTTAAATATATCTAGGAAGAATTTGCATAAACATGAGGAAAAGTCAATACCAGTTAAAGAAATAAACCTATAAATTATTACATGAAATTATCCCATGCAGATTCTGCTTTTCAGATATCACAAGAAATGTGATCATGTGGTATTGATATATTAATACAAATTCAAATTAGAATTGAACTAGTCAAACCAGAATGCCAATATGCTTGAAAGAACACATGAGACTTCAACCAAATATTAACATGTTTAACAATAATAAAATTATACCCTGGTAGTACAGTATGCTGATATTCAAAAGGAATATTTAGCAAATGTCAAACAACAAAATGAAGGGAACATTTAAAAGTAACCTGTACTGATAAATGGATAGTAGATCTACACCTTTCCTACAACCATTTCAATCCTGAATCGCTATATTCCACACCTGTTCTCTTGGAATTTTCTTTCAGCCAACAATCATTCCATTGACTACACCAGGCTATATGTTTTTTTTTCCCCCAGTTGGCTTAAATAATAGATTATTTCAACTACTATTTGTATGGATATCAATAACATCTTTACTACTACATCTAGATCTTTGATCTCTGACTTTGCTAAACGTTTCCATTCTTTTTATTGTTGGCTGATCAACACTTGTATTAGCTTACATTGCAGTTGGATGCTATAAAGGTTTTAATTCTCTTGTTACTAAAATGACTACTACATGATTGCATCAATTTTCAAAAGAAGAGTGAATTTATTTAGACTGACATTTGAACCCAGAAAACAATATTGCCTTAACAGAAAAACCTGGAATTGACAGACTTCTTCAGCCATTTTAAGCCACAATGATATTGCAACAACCGACCAAACAACAAAGGGCCGTAATTGGGTTATATAGATCTTAGGAGAAAAGCTATCAAAATCTCTCTCTTTGACTCATATCTACAGTTATCAACTCTTGGTAACAGGAAATTACTGTCTGTATCCATCTTAAGTCTTTCACCCTGTGGTGTAAACTCATTTCCTTTACCTTGCTTTTCTGTACCTGGGTATCTCAATCAGTAGAATGAATTTCCACAAAATGAGAAACAGAAGTTAATAAGGTCCTATCAATTGTCCCCGATCATGCACAATGTTGATCATAATGATGGATTTTGTACAGCATCATAACAAAAGATTGGTAGTTAGCTTTGCTGTTCTGAAAACACAATATTTTGATAACAAAACATTCCCAGTTTGCCCAAATAAAAGATGCTAACAGCCACACACTTCCATATATTAGATGGTGATACTTATAATAAAAGTGAAATATATTTTGTGCAGATCGATAGCACTCCTGAAACAATTCACACATCATCTTTTGCTTCTTGCTTTAGTGTGGCAAGCAGTCTTTGATATTCACTGTGGAGATAGCTACCAACATGATGTACTAGTGAAAACATAAAATTGATTTTTTTTTTACTGCTCTAATGTAAAAGGCTTACAAATTATTCTACACATTTCTACTAAACACAACTTCCTTTGGAGTGTGTGGGACAACTAAACCCTGAAGCTGCTCACAGAATGCTGAATTTCTTTGAATAATCTCAGAAAACTGCACTGAGATGGAGAATGTGGTACCTTACAAATTCTATCTAGATGCAATTATTACAATTTAATCTGCCAATCTCTTTCATCTACATGCAAAAAGCTTACGTAATTGAAGGTAGCACTATCTTCCTTTTTATTATAAAAAGCTTAAGTCATTAATTAATAAGAAAAAAAAAGCCACAAATGAAAATTTTCCTTAGAACCACCAAATACCAAGACTCCAAGGGAAACCATCTTTTTTTTTTTATTGTCCTCAGGACTGTTGGCATTTTGGCCAGCTGAGGTTCAAATTAGACAGCTCCATGGGTAGCAGGCATCCTGGGGCCTGTGAGGATCCTGGAAACACAGGTGACCATTTCAATTATTTCCCATGAATGGTTTACTCTGCCTCGGCATCAGCATGGGACGAGGCATGGGGTACCCACAGTGTGATACATGCAGTCAAGCAATCACGTAGTATTCTCCTAATTAATTTAAATATGCTTGAGAAGATTATGTGACTTGAAAACCCCATGTTCTGGTCAATGGATAAAATCAAGGCACCCTGAAGTGAGAACTGATGGCATCTTTTACAAGCTTTTCGAAACTCTCTTTTGATAGATGACTGAATTACTGAAATATTAAATTTGAGTAAATTGTTCATTTAAAACGATATTGTTAATGAAGAAAAATGAGGTTGCAAAACATGCTGGCAGATATTTCTAATTTCACTAATAGTGAAGGTATCAAAAAGGCATCTGCGAAAGTAAATATTATCCCTAAAACATAAAAAGAGAATTGATAATGAAGCTCAGACAGTTTCAGCAAGCAGAACATCAGAACTTAAAAGAACAGAAACACCAAGGACAGAATTACTGATTTTGTGACAAAGTATTCTCCCATGAGAAAAAATCTGAGCCAACACTGATACAAAGGAATGATTCGCAGGCAATTCCAGAGAATCTCATGAACATGCAGGCATTTACTAGCTCATCCTGTGGCAAACTACAGGTTCATATGACTTCATCCTTCATCCTAAACAAGTATGTATTTCCAGGAGATAGTTAACCCTGCCCCCATTCTGTGTCCATCTTTTTTTTTTTTTTTGCATGTTTGGTGCCTTCTAAAATGAACATTCTTAACGTGTAAGAGTACACCCATTCAGCTCATGATTTTCCATAAGTGTCCACTACTTTATCATGCTCTGTCCAATTACAATCTAACTGAATCTCACAAGTCAGGTTCTCCTCACTCTCATAGTCCTTATGCTGGTAACATCTGTGCTACTCCAAACTGCGGGTAGGTGCTCTACTCATTTCTGTCTTTGAAAGCTCATTTTAAAATGAACCTATTAGAATAAATTAGAATTGGGCATTATAAAAATCTGTGAAAAAAAATCTTACTAATCAAATTCTAATGGGAATATAAACAGTGCACCTGTGTACAGGAATATCAGTGAAGTTAAAAAACAGCATTACTCTCATCCATATGGACTCAGAAAAGAAAGGATATTAAAAGTGTGGTCAGTAAGTGAGAGATACTAGTGTATGAAAATATTGAGATTTTCAAGGAAAGAAAGAAAGGTTTTCAAAGTAGGGAAATTTGGGGATTTAGCCAGAAGAGAGAAAATGAGCATTTTATACCAAAGCAACTACTAGCCCAAGACAAGTCATGCTGACGTGTTTAAAAGATAAAATAAAATATAAAATATACAAAGAAAAAAGACTAAAGCCATATTCACTCCTTCTCGTAATCATCTTTCTGTTATTAATTTTTTACAAAAGTGATTTAATTTCTTATCTTTTGTGTACCAGCTATGTTCTTTCAAAGAATGGTGTCATCATTTGATGACAATTATAAACATTGCCCTTTGCAGCCCAGAAGAAATTCTAAGTTTTAAACTCAGTCATACGTCATATTGTATACAAAGCAGCTACAGAGCTATCAGAGGATATGAACCATATGGAGTTTTTGAAACAAACTTAGCATTTACAGTATTAATACTAATGTGAGCTATCCCTAAAAATAACGAATTTATTAGACCCCAGGTATGAGAAGCAATAGATCATGCTTTTGATAATAGCTACATTTCTAATTAACTATTGCTTATTCTAAATTTCCTATAACTAAAATACATGTGGTAATGTCATGCATGTGCCATAGCTAAGAATATCAAATATAATCTTAATTTAAATACAGTTTTCTTTGAGTTTTAAAGACATGTACATATGTAATAAAATTTTAAATAACTTCCAACTGAATAAAATAACATAGCTGAATGATCTTCAAATCAGAAGCAGTAGATGTAAAACATGGTGGTACTTACCATAGTGAAATTCATAACTTTCAATATCCATATTGTCATGGCTAAGTTAACTATCATGGTAACCAACAGCAGAAGGACAAAGAAGTATAAGCACCTCTTTCGCCAGCCATAAATTCCCACTGGATACAGTTGTGCATTCTCAGTCCTTGGCAGGTTATTCTGTTGTGTTGCTAGTATATATTGTTCTCGTGTCATCTGAAAAAAAAAAAGGAAAAAAAAAAGAAGAAGGAGTATTAAAATTTAATCAGTTCTTTTCCTCTCTGGCTATATAGGCATCGGCCTCCACCATGAATGACAAACAATTCAGATCATGAAATTTATGAGTAACTAACTGTGAGAAAATAAATATTCTCTGGTATTGTCCAACCTAGGAAAGCAACAATGTCTAAGACAAAAATTTTGGAAAACCTTGGCAAAATATACAAGACAATATCACATTTGTTTTTGCAAACAGAACTCATTTTGGTGATGACAAGACAGTCAGCATAACAATGATTTATGTTTCCTTGCATTATGAAAAGAGAAATGAACCCAAACATAGACTTATAGACTTATCCTAGATGAGAAGAAAACGATCTTAATTAAACAATGGAAAGACCCCCAGAACCAAATGAAAAATTCAAGGGGAACTGTCAAGACCTAATTTGGTACTGGCAAAAAGCTGAAATAGTAAAGACTAAATAAACCAACGTGATCATTTGAATTTTTCATGGATAATAATAAAGATAATTAAAATACTAAAATCAGATCCAAGATAGCTGACTACAGGATAGCCACACAAGCTTTGGCTGCTCTGAGATACAAAAAGAATGAAGGAAGAATGGTACTTTCAGAAGCATGACTGACTGAGATTTGGGTAATTAACAGAGGCAGAACCACGGAAGCTGCTTGAGGTAAGGGGATGGAAATTGGAAGCACTGCTTGCAATCAGCCCTGTGCAGCCAGCTAGACTGTAACAGCAAGTCATCACTTCACCACCACCAGAAGCAAGAGACACCATACTGGACACTGGGGGGAACAGTAGATCCAGAGTTTGAAGTGGGAGTGGATCATGCAGAACACACTAACTCCAGTAATGGGTTGGAGCTAGAGTGAGGGGAGGATTCTGGCAGATTGCCGCAGATGAGGAGCACAATTATTTCTGCCTTCCTCCCATAAAGCACCTGAAACCGCGAGAAGTTGCCATTTCGAAGGTGTCCTGTACATGCTGAGAAGAGCAGCAAAGTGGGAGAACAAAGATTGGAGAAGTTGTGGCAGCTGTTTCTGCACAGGCACATATGATTAGTGGTTCTAGCTCTCCACTTTTGTGACAGGACTGGTGTCCTGGTAGGGGGCAAGTTCATACATCTGGGACTGTGAAAAAAGCACTCACACCCAGTTTCCTGCAAGCCGCAAGGAGAAGGTATGACAAAGTAAACTGGGAAGGTGGAGCACTCAGAGGTAGTCGGTGCTGGGAACACTTCTGGTCTTGGCAGTTGTAATAGACTGTCAAGACTAAAACTTTGAAGATAAATCAAATGGGAATATCAGAAATGAACAATTCAACATGCCAAAAGAAGAGTGGAATGCCTTGACAATAGGCATGGGAAAGCAGAAGAATGAATATTCAAGATACAAGACAAAATCTTGGAAGGATTTCAGCCTGGCAAACAAAACAAAATGAAAAAAAAATCATAGAAATGCAAAACAGTGTTCAAGATTTATGGGACACGGACACACACACACACACACACACACACACACACACATCTTAGGAATTCCTGAGACAATGGATGAGAAGTTGTACTCAGCAAAATAATAGAAAACTTCCCTCATATGGAGAAAGAAAAGGGCACCTAAATAAAGGAAATACCCATAACTGCTCATAGGCATTAGCAGAAAAAAATCTTCATCATGACATATCACAATCAAGTTTTCAGTGATAAAATGTAAAGCCAAATCCTAAAACACTCATCAGAGAAATGCTAAGCTACCTTCAGAGAATCCCCAGTTAGACTAACAGCTGATTTCTCATCAGATCCCACATGCTAAAGAGAGACATAGTGCAGATCCCAAAAAGAAACTTCCAACCCAGAATACTATACCCAAGCAAGCTCTCATTTACACGTGAAACTAAATAGGGACCTTCTAAAATAAACAGAAATTGAAAGAGTTTACCACATCCTGACCAGCCATACAAATGATGCTTAGGGATACACTACACACAGAAGTAGAGATTAACAATAATCGAAAGACGGGAAGGTAGACAATCTAGCAAAGGTACAAAGCAAATGAGGATATGTATAGAAAAACGGTAGGAACCCTTGATACCCTTCACTAATAGCCGTGAAAACATCTCTCCTACCAAGAGTTACAGACTGGTTGAATGGATTAAAGCACAAGACTTGTCCATTTGGTACCTACAAGAAACATCCCTCACTAATAAAGATACATATAGACTGATATTGAAAAATATGAAAGATACTCCATACTAACACGTAGAAAAGTTGAGCAAGTATAATCATTCTAATATCAGACAAAAGAGACTTTAAGGACAAAAAAAATTAAGGTGAATTGATAAGGGAATGAATTAAAGAAATGAGTGTAGTAAATTCATTTTTACCCATTGCCAGAGCAATGGCTAATGGACCAAAAGGGAGAGCTAGACTCTCATACAATAATTTGGTCCTTCGACAACTATTTTCATCATTGGACAGATCAACTGTAGACACTGAACAAAGAAACAACAAAGCTAATCTATACCAAGGACCAAATGGACCTAACAGATATCTGCAGAACATTCATTTCTCAGTTACAGAATATATATTATTCTCATCATTGCATGGAAATGACTTTGGATAAAGGGCACAATAGGTAACAAAGAAAGCCTCAACAGATTAAAAAAAATGAAATCATACCATGCATCTTTTCTAACCAACAAAGAATGAAGCTGTAAATCAGCAAATCAAAACTATCATGGAAAATATGCAAACTCATGGAGACTGAATGATATACTACCTAGTGAACAGTAGATCAAAGAAGAAATCAAATCAGAAATAAAAAAAATCTTAGATGACAGCACAGCATATCAAAACTTATGCAGAAAAAACAGTCAAGAGAGAAGCTCAGAGCAATCAGTGTCTACATCAAGAAATCAGAAAAGCATCAAAGAAGTTATTCATTTGCCAATGCATCTCAAAGACCAAGAAAACTAGCACCCATAAGAGATCCCTGTGCATGCAAGGAAAAGACTTTAGGCACTCAGCTACTTGTGCCAGGCCCCGATGTCAGTTTTTCTAAAATGAAAGTGGAGAAAAGAAAGCAGGAGTGAATGTGTTACATGTTGCATCTATCTGGATAGAAGGGAAGGCTACAAAACAGATTCAATGCTTATAGGTCAGTATAAAGGGGAAAAAAGGAGAAGATAAAGCAGTTTATAATATATAAAATAATTGCTTTATATCATTCTGACTCAGTTAAAAGTAAAAAGACTATTAACAGATTATACTGAATTTATTTTGTGTAAGGAAGAAATATGGTCTGCAACAGTGACTAAACAATTTCACCAAAGTTTATAGTTCACATTTGCCTTCTCATGCTCCAATCAAAAATGAGATTGAATAATTTAAAAGCAGTAATAAGATTTAGATTGCTTAAAATCTTAATTTCATCAGGAAGAGAGGACTCTGAAATCAGGCTTTGTCCAAGCTTGTTCAAGTCCAGTTGTTAAGAAGTTATCCTCTCCAGTTCAACTTTAGCATTAAATTCCCAATCTGATGATACAGAAACAAACACAAAAACAAAAACAACAGCAACAAAAAACCAGAATCCAAACTTCTTAAAAGAATGTCTTTCTTTTTTCAAGATTTATTTTATTTATTTAAAAGGCAGAATTACAGAGACACAGAGGGAAAGACAAAGAGATCTTCCATCTGCTGGCTCACATCTCAAAAAACTGCAATAGACAGAGATGGGCTGATCTGAAGCCAGAACGCAGGAGCTTCCTCCAGATTTCCCATGTGGGTCCAAGGGCCCAAGAACTTGGGCCTTCCTTTCCTGCATTCCTGTGCCATAAGCTGGATCCTAAGCAGAGCCACCGATATACAAACTGGTGCCCATAAGCGATGTCAGTGTTGCAGGCAGAGGCTCAACCTACCATACCACAGTGTCAGCCTCAAAGAACTCAATTTAAATTAAGATATACTATAATTGTTTTCTAAATACCACCCTTAATAATTTGATTATACTACACAGAAATGCTTGATATTAATATTAAGACATTATCACAATTACCACAAGATAAAAACATTTATTCAACCCACTAACTTAATTTCTGAAAATGAAATACAAATTAAACCTGTAATTTCTGTTCAGACTTGCGTCCTTATTATGGAAATTCTCCTGGACGGTAAGATGGAAAATTTGGGAAATTGCTTTTAATTTCAGATTATGAAGCCAGCACTTGGCACACTGAAGTAGTAATAAGCAACATCTTTGTGACCACAAAAATGTAATTTTAGTTCCACAAACTTGTTAAATGCCTCACTGGGAATGTTGGTATTCTAGGAGGAGTGCTCAGTCATGTTGTTGTCACTGGTTATTGAGGATTGGTTATATTAGAGTGAACACTTCATGTATCTGTGTTTTGTGCAGACCAGGAATAGAACACAAGGGACTGCATGCAGTCCCAGACTTCTGCGATGAGTTGTAACTCAGCCAGGCCATTCCGTACCACGGGTCCTGGGGCAAGTCACTTAGCCATTCTCTGCCCCAGTTTCCGCAACTCTCCAATGAATTTTACATTGACTTATATAAGCACAATCTGGGAACACAAAAGTAGGATGTAAAAGTGTCATTTTTGCCTGAGGTGGTAAAAATACTCATTTAAAAATTTTATCTTCTATCCCTTAGCCTATGTTCCTCTACTTAAATGCTTTATAATGCCTGTTTGCTGGAATTCATTTTAAAAGACATGGTTGAAGTATAGTTTTAAAAACAAAATACTTTAAGTGTCCAAATTATATGGCATGAACTTTACACACCAGAAAGGCATTTTGCTTTCTCCTCCAAGAAAATGAGTCTCTAAGCAGCCACTAATGTGGAGAGAGATTGAAAACAATGCAGTAAAGTCTACTTACCATGGCAGTTTAAACTTCTATCTATAATACTTAATTTTCAAAGGCACATTTCCACATAATGGTCATCAAAATTCACTA